TGTCATGTATAGTGCTTGGAACTCTTTAACGACAACTTTGACATGGCGTGCGAGTTTTTTGTAGTTCAATTTAATGGCTTCATGTCACTCACAAGTTAATTTGATGTTACGTACATTATTAACATTACAGAAACCACATATTTGTGCCAGTTTTAACACGTATTTTATAATCAACAAGTGTGTAACACCGGTCAAAGTTTGACACTTCTCTGGCCATTATCTCCGTAACCGTTCAACTTTGGACATAGGTGTTTTGGGTTATATCGGCATACTTTAACACAAGGAACACCCTCCCGAAGTTTGGCACATTCCTCCTGGGACATTCTGTATATATATTTACTTAACATTGTAATTAAAGTGCACACAGTGACTGCTGCATACCGTAGGTAAAATTGCATTACTTCAGTCATAGCGAAGCAGAGTGGGTGTGTTTGTATGTACGGGCCTGTGTGCATGTGTAAGCCACGTGAAAGTATCCAAACTCAACTACACCAACTACACATATTTAATTCTTATAATCCGAGAAAAGAGTATATCATATAATTCTTAGGGGATAGTGACAATTCAGTTTTGGAATTTGTTGATGGTTAGGCAGTGAGTGGTACCTAGTGAGCAGTGCTGAAGTGCTGAAGGTCAGCTCGCTCTAGCTATGACGTCATGGCGGTTCTGTGGTCCTGTGGTCCTGTTGTCTCGGCCAAGTTCTGCGTATGACCCACCCAAAACTTTTCGTTACTCTTTGGTAAGATGTCCGTGGTGACGTCACGAACAGAATGCTGCCGTGAGAACCGTGAGAACAGAGAAGCGACGTCAGTAAATGTTTGTGCGATTTGTACACAATTAATAGGTTTGCAATCGTTAGTATGTTTGCATGGTAACTTGGAAAAATAATTCTTGGCCAGATACACCTACGCTTGTTACAAATATGATGCTATATCACTAGGGCTCTGGGAAATCAATTAATTTGCAATCCATAAAACTTGTAATAAGAAAGATTTTGCATTCTCTTGCAGCAGAAGTGCCAAGAACTCTGCTACAGAGAGCTAAAGAAACATTTCCTGTTGTGAGAGGAAGGATGGTACGTGTTTTGTGCTTGTGTGCTTAGAAGAAATTAATTATGTCAATTCTCATTGCTTAAAAAATTAAATATTTATGCCTATCTTGGTTTAGTTTCCATGATCCATCTGGGGAGTTTACATGGTTCTTCGTATTATAACAGTATGGTATATTATGTAATAGAGTGAGCAATTCAAGGAGAGTGATATCGGTAGGTCATGTAGTACACATGTGAGAATGAGAAATGCATACAAAGGTTTGGCTAGAAGACCTGAAAGATTGAGACGACTTGGGAGTCATTTGTGCAAATGGATTTTAGATATATAATTTTGGGGAGTTTGGACTTGGTTTGTTTGTGTTAGGATGAAAAGTCATGATGGGCATGTGTGAACCCAGTAATATGTGCTTAGGTAACACAAAGAGCAGCTATTTTCTGTACTACCACAAGGACCATAAGTTTCTGAGAAGGTCCCTACATTATGAAAATAATACTTTATAAGATTATGAAGTCTAGAGAAGGAATCCGTAGAGAGCAGCTTTTATGGGGTAGATGTAATGAGCATTGTTTGATGTATGGTGTTGTACAGCCATGACTGATGGAAGATATGATTGTTTTACAGAACTATACGAATTCAGAGAAGCTTTTAGTGGGTCCATATGGTGAGATATACCCAGCAAGTCATGATGCAAACCAGGCCATGAATATAAAAGCTGAGGAAGTCTCAGACTCAGAAGAGAAAGCTGATCCTCAGCAAATAACAATTCAGGAGATAAAGGCTGAACCTGAGGTGAGCTGCATGATTCTGTATGTCAACTGTTAGGCGGATATCACAAATATGCAAAAATGTCAATTGTCATCTCCATCTCTGTGGCTGTCTGAACAGAGGAAACATCTCCACTGTGCTGCTGGCTGGCCTTTGAAGACCTTTTTCTGAAGTGTCTCTAGACAGTTAATATTTTGTTGAATGAATGTTGCTTGTGATGTACCACTTCCATTTCTTTTTAATCAGTTGTGATGTAGATGAAATTAAATTTTGTGTAAACTGAACCATGTTTCAGAGAAATTCTATAGCAGCAAAGATCCTTATGGAGTCACGGAACTGTTTGCAGTTAGTTACTGGTACACTTATTAGAACCAAGAATTTAAATTACTAGAACTCCTATAAGCTAATTACAATGAACCCCACAAACATTTCCTGCTGTGTTTGTGTGCACAGACAAGAAATTTATTTTCATATGTCAGTTCTCTTGGTCAAAGAAACTATATTTTGTCACCTGCTACTGATTGTTTGCATAATCTATGTGGGGAGTTTCTTACACTTGGGTGTAGACATTATAACAGTTTTGTGTATTATATAGGAGGGTGATGTGGGTAAGTCACGTAGTGCACATGAGAGAGTGAGAAATGTATACAAAGTTTTGGAGGAAACACATGAGAAAAAGACCACTTGGGAGACCTAAGTGCGAATGGAAAGATGTTATTAAGATAGGGTTTACAGAAATAATTTGGAAGGGTCTGTACTGGGTCTGATTATCTTAGGATACGGAGCCATGATGAGGATGTGACCACAGTAATGAGCCTTTAGATAACATAAATAACTTCATGGAGCTGAGTGAGACTTTGAGAAGATACCAATTGCTTGGCCATTGAAGAATTTCCCAACGTTGTATCGAACCTGAAATTTATTAATGTGTTCGCAAGAACCTGTCACAGGTCACTATCCTGATCCATTTGAATCCAGTAAACAGCATCGCATTCTAAGTCTCTTTAACACTTTGCAGACCGCGCACGCATTAATATGTTTTTCGCTTTAAACATGGCAGACCAGTCGCGTATTAATACGTTTTTAGAACATGATAAGTTGCAGCACACTATACAGCGCTGTGACACCACCCAACTTGCAGTAGCTGCCTGCAGCTGCATGATAAGCCTCTGGAATGTTTGCTGACTAATCAGTTATGTGACCTTGCTGTAACTGTATGCCTCTGCAAAGGAAAATAAATGCCTTTATTACTTCAAGCTGTACGTAGCATGCTGTCAGTGAGTAGTGCAATATGCGAACATATAATCCTGGGAAACTTACAAAGTATGGCCTGATTTGTTCGTATAGTTACTGAAAGCACTTCAGGCTGTATTGGAAATTCAGAATTTTATTCTGGTGAAGGAAAGAAATTACAAGAAACTATTCTTTCCGTTTTGGAACCCTATCTTGATCAAAATTACCATGTCTATCAAGACAATTATTATAACAGTGTGGCAACTGCAGAACACCCACTTTCGAGATAAGTACATGTTTGTGGAACAATTAGGGTGAACAGAGGCCTTCCTCCAGATCTGAAAGAGGAATGTAAATCCCTGAAACGTGGTGAAACCACATTCAGGAGGAAGGGGGATATTCTTCTTCAGTCCTGGAGGGATACTCGTGTTGTGAATATGATTTCCACAATTCACAATTCGAGCATGGTTGATGTTCAGAGGAGACATGGACAGTTAAAGAAGCCTGTTTGTATTTCCGAGTATAATATGTTCGTGAAGGGAGTTGATAGAGCCGATCAGTACTTGGCCTATTATTCTCTTCCTTGGAAAACAGTAAAGTGGACGAAGAAAGTTGTCTTGTGGCTTATAAATTGTGACATTTTCAATTCATTTTTGGTTTTCAAAAATCTAAACCCTCATTCAAAATTGAAACACAAGGCATTTCTGCTGAATGTGGCAAAAGCCTTGGCTACAGACCACATGGTAGCGGCAAAACCGGTGGCAGACACAGTCTTAGTGCGACCAGGCCCATGTACTTCCACCCCACGCAGACCTCATTTTGACCCCCCTGGGCGACTCGGGTGATATGCGGAAACATACCCTCGCAAAAATTGTGAAGAGTGAACATTTGAAGGGGAAGAATCCTTCTAGGCAAGGCAATGCCGTGTCTGCCCAGTTCACAAGAAAAGGAATGTGACTGTCTACATTTGCAAGTTTTGTGTAATGCCACTTCACAGAGGGGAATGTTTTGAGGAACATCACACCCTCAAGCACTTCTAGGAGCATTGGTAAGTGTTTTATAAAATGTTTAGTTCATAAAATTAACGAGGAGATTTTATATTAATTTTAAAGTGAACAGTGCACAAGTTACGGTAGTAGGTAAAAACATGCCGGTCCCCAGGGTGATTTAAATATTTAAATTGCTGGTCCACAAAGTGTTAAGATCCATTTAAACATTATCTTCCCATCTATGCCTGTGTCTTCCTAGTGGTTGCTTTCTTTTTGAAAAAGTTATATATAATAGACTTCAACATCATCTCGACATAAATAAAATCCTGGCGCATGAACAACATGGATTTCGTACTAAATTGTCCACGGATACAGCCACTCATGACTTAATAAATACTATTCTATCAGCATTAAATAACAAACTAGTTGTAGGAGGTTTGTTTTGCGATTTGACTAAGGCTTTTGATTGTGTAAATCATGAAATACTACTTGCAAAACTGGAGTTTTATGGTATCAATGGTTTAGCAGGAAAGTTGCTCAAAGACTATTTGACTGATAGGCAGCAAAGAACAATATTGAATAATAACACTGAAAGTGGTGTTTCTAAATGGCAAAAGGTTAAACAGGGTGTCCCTCAGGGTTCTATCCTGGGGCCATTGCTCTTTTTAGTATATATTAATGATTTACCATATATAATAAATAAAGTGTCAAAGCCAGTTTTATTTGCGGATGATACCAGCATATTGTGTTGCAAGTCGAACTACAATGAACTTGTTATTACTTTAAAAGAAATTCTTGAATTAATTAATGTATGGTTTTCTATTAATTCGTTAACTTTGAATCTGACAAAAACAAATTGTGTCCAGTTTTCATCAAAACCTAATTTACCAATAGATATCAATATAAACCATGGGGATATCCAAATTAATAACACGAGTACACTGAAATTTCTTGGAATAACAATTGACAGTACTTTATCATGGAAAGAACACATCAAATATACAGCCAGCAAATTAAGCTCGGCTAGCTATGCCATCAGAATCCTAACTTCAGTTATGTCCCTAGAAAGCCTATTGATGACTTATTATGCCTATGCCCATTCTATCATGTCATATGGTATAATATTCTGGGGTAATTCAACTAATAGTGACCAAATTTTCATAATTCAAAAAAGAATAGTTAGAATAATAATGAGAGCGGGTAACAGGGACTCTTGTCGACCAATTTTCAAAGCATTAAACATTCTTCCATTCTATTCACAATATATTTTCTCAATATCTGTTTTTGTGGTTAAGAATATGGACAAGTTTGTAACAAATTCAGATATTCATGGCATGCACACTAGACGGGGTTTAGATTTACATTATCCAACCTGTAAACTGACTAAAGTGCAAAAGGGAGTGTTTTATAGTGGGATTAGGATATTTAACAACTTGCCATGTAGAATTAAAAGCTTGTCAGAGGACATTAAGAAATTCAAATATTCCCTAAAAAAATTTTTGCAGGTGGGTTCTTTTTATTCCTTACATGAGTATTATGAATGGAAATCAAGGAATGATTGTGCTTCCTATAGATAAAGATTGCACCTATTATTTTGTCACATCTAGAATATAATATGATCTGTCTGGTTTTGTTTATAATTGTTGTGAATGGCACCTGATTTTTGACGTTGTTTGTTTCGGTGTCGTGTCTGTGATTTGGTTTGATGTGTTACTTGTTTGTGTTCTACAACTGTTAATGTACTACAATTATATGTGGCCTTTTTAAATGTCTTGGATATTTAATTTTTAACAATTTATCATTTTAAATGTACTTTTTATTGACATGTTCTATATCTCAAGGCAGCACTGCCAATTGTAGATCTCTGGAACGAAATAAATATGTATGTATGTATGTTGCCTTTTCTCAACAAATCCTGTATGCATTCATCTTCTCCATGTCTGCTGTATGAGCTGCCCATCTCATCCGCCTTGACTTGATAATTTTAATTATGCTTGGTGAATGAAGATTACAAGTTACAGAGCTCCTCATTATGATGTTTTTAGGTACCAAAGAAAGCAGATATTTTCTGTACTTCTTGCAGTGACCATTTGTCTCTCAGGAAGGTCACTGAGCTATGATCCAAATACTTTCTAATGATCTTGATAGATGTAGAGAAGAAAATCTGTAGAAAACAGCTCCTATGAGTTAGATGTAATGAGAAGCAGCCATAGCAAGGAGAGCATATGCTGTTTATGTGGTGTTTTGCATCCAATTCTGAGAAAGATGTGATGGTTTTTACAGCACTGTAGAAATTCAGAGAACGTTTTAGTGGATACATATGGCGAGACATACCCAACACCTCATAATGCAAATCAGGCCATGAATGTAAAAGCTGAAGCAGTCTCAGATGCAGAAGAGGAAGAGGATCCTCTTGCAGTAACATTTCCAGAACTAAAGGCTGAACCTGAGGTGAGCTGTATGTGCACGGTTAGGCAGATAACACATGTGCAGAAGTGCCACTTGTCTTCCTCATCTCCATCTCTGCCTCTGCACATGAAACAGCTTCTAACCGCTCACTCCGTTGGGCCCTTTATGTTGTGCCACCTTCCTTCTCTTACCGTCCTTTTGGCCCCTTGGTTGCTGGTTGTAGCTGCTCCTCTAGCCGTTCCCTCTCACCTGTGGGTACTCTGAGTTTGCAGGTTGCTGCTGTGTCCTTCTTATCCAGTTCTGTTTCCCTTTTTGTTGTTGTGAACAATTGTTTGTGGGATATGGGTTACTTCAATGCTGGGTGCCAGTAAGCTTACTATAATGGCTTACATTTCAGGAAAAAGGGGGAATGAACCAGAAACTACAGGTGATAGGTACTGCATTCGCACTAGAGCGATGAGATTCTGTCTCAGGATGAATACGGGCCTCACGTCAGCGGGAAAGATAAGAGTGTTTATAGCTAGGCACTAACACACACTGTTTAATTAGCAGTTCTTGATATACATGTAACAGCACTTGTCTTTAATCCCTTAAAACACCTTGAAATCGCTCAAACGTTGGCGACCAGATCCATGGCTAGTTATTTAGCGACTGCTTCTTTTAGCACAACACATAGGAGTAACACTTTCACTTAAACTCTTAAGCCAAAGTAAGATTCACATTAAATTTTGCAGAGTTATTCAGGGATTCTTCCCATAACACACTTAAACATAATTCTGTTTTAACTTTGACTTTTAAACCAAACTGACAGTGACGCCAAATTTTAGACTTTACACTTGGAGAGTTGTTCAGAGACTCCTTTCGCAGACTGACTCTGCTTCGAAGCAAGAAGTCTTCACAGCTTCAACTCCGCCTCCAAGTTACTACTCTAATTTCGGCTGATTGGAACAATTCGAATTTAGGGAGTTAACCATAATTCTCACTGCTCCAATCACCTAGTTTTAATTTGGGACTTTGGACCTTAAAGTCCTAACGTCGTTTTTAACAGCTGCTTGAAAAATTATACCAGTAGCATGGGTTGCTGGCCTTCACACTTTTGACTTACGGAGTTCAAAACCTGTCAAGTGTAACTTTACCAAAGGATCCCACCGGTCAACTTTCGAACTGAATTTCCAGGAAAACTCTGCGGGGTGCTTCCTGCCTGGTCTTTGTAGCAGTGAAGCAGGCCCTATTCTTGAAACCAAGAATTGGGCTAAGTCACCCTTGAATGTTCCTTACTACATCCTATGCTTAATTACTGTAAAAAGAAATATTGATTACAAATAAAGCTGGTGGTGTCAGTGGTATGGCTACAAGCTCTACTGTGCTGCTGATCAGATTTTGATGCCCCCCCCCCAAAAAAAAATGTCTCTAGGTAACTGTAGTTTGTTTAATGTTGCTTGTGATGTACCAGTCCCATTTTCTTTTAAGCAGATGTAATATAGCTGGAATGAAATACTTTGTGAACTGCATGTTTGTTGTAAATTCTGTATAACAAAAATCCTTTACATTTATCTTGTTTGTCCAATCCACTAAGCAGTGCTTTGGTACTACATCATAGGGTTCCCAGGTTCTATAAATGCTAAAGTTTACAATTTGTCTTGTGTCTTTGATGTAGTCTGTACCCATGTAATAACACTGCCGTGTCCTTGTATTGAGGATTTGTTATAGGATAACTAATGTTTCACTAAAGATTTGTAACTGTGTGTGACAGATTATAGACACTTATTACCTGTTGCCCTTTGTCTGAAGTAAATTTAATATACCTGACACTGTTGGAGTTGCCTCTGTACCTGCTGTCGGGTGATTAGTTGTTGTTATTGAAGAATTGGCATTGGTAACTCATCCAAAAATATAGATACAATTGTGGTGAAGTGGAATATACAATGGATGTAATTAAACACACAGATAAAGCTATTAATGAACACAAAAAAAAATTCTATATATGCCTGTTGACGGCGTTTCTTACTTTTCTCAGCTGGTTCACAGTGACTGTTGTACCACTGGCTGCAAGGTGCATACAGATTTTGCCAATGAATCGGTATGTCTGTGGCCAGTAACATTTGGAATGAAGTATACAATTCACAGGTTACAGAAGTTGTTGAAAATGCTGTCCCCCTACACGTAGACATTCTTTGCACCAGCAGAACCTGTTTTGCAGGAATATTTGCAATTTCCCTATTACTTTTTTTTTTAATTCTTCCATATGGTGTTCACTGTTTTAACCTTTGTCCTGCAAGAACCACAGAAGATAATATCATAAGAATTAAAGTTGGGTGAATGTGCCTTTCAAATACCAGTGCTGATATTTCTGTCCCTCAAGGTATCAGACAAAGCCTGCATAGATATACATGCAATGCGTGCAGTAGCTTAGTCTTACTGAAACCAGCCATAGAATCTTTGTTCATCTGTTAACTCTAGAAAGAATTGTCTGAGAATGAACAATTAATTGTTCCATTAAAAAAATGCAGGCAGAGCAGCCCTTGCCCTTACAGCATGCCGGAATCCAGCTTTCACACTTCATGTGTTAGATGTGGATTGCATGAATTCCAGTAGCAATTATTTTTCATATTTATGTATCCCTGCAATTGAACCCATGCTTCATCAGAAAAGAATGTCAATTGTGGATCAGTCTCATCTTCAGTGATACATTACAGAAACGAACTGCAAAAATGAACCCTGCTAGCTGGATCACACAGCTGCAAGCATGGATTACTATTGTCTTATATGGTTTAAGCTGCAGCAGTTGTGTTGGCTTTCTTACGCTCTACTGTGACACTCCAGTCTCTATGAGCTAGATATTGAGCACTTGGCGCTTATTCTTTTCTTTCTTTTTTTTTTTTTTTGTCAATTAAATAGTCTCATGAATCAAAGTTTATTCACCAAATTGTGGATTATTTGTCTTCTGGGAACTCTTTCATCACAAAATTTTCACAGGCACTTACTAGCAGAAATGTATGTGCCATACAGAAATACACATTGCTCTAAAGGAGCCATGTCAAACATGCGGCCCCCATAGCCACAAAGTGCGGCCCCTCAACTTTTAGAGCTAATTGATATTAAAATCAATATTAAAATTTTAGTAGAAATATTTTTTGTAAAGACAATTTACCAACAGACCAGAAGACAAGAGGTCTCACGCAGACATAAATTAGCAGGCTGCAGGAAAAGTGTTTTTGAGAATTGCAGAAGGGTTTGTCCAACCAACGGTTTGTAAAGTTCGTAAAGGGCAAACCATTGTATTTCAGAAGGTTAATGCACTAAAATCCGCACAGCCTCACCACCCCAAGTATTTTGAAGAATCCCTTTTGGGGGCGTAGTATGAATGCAAGGAGGGTGGCAACTGACAGACAAGTGCAAGGGATTTCTACCTTCAAAACTAGCTTGCAACCCCCAGTCATTGTCTAATGGGCTGCTAGCAAACTTTCACTTTTATGACCATTGAGACAAGATACACCTTCCTACTAGTCCGGTAGTCTCTTGTACATTGTCATTCAGTTCATTTTCAAACAGCGACCGGTGCTGATGTTACACTGTGATGAACGTATAAAGGTTATAATTAAACATTAAATTATCAACTACAAGTTTTCTTATATATGTACAGTAACTTTTAAAGGGCAATGTTGCTTTCAAAAATTCAAGTAGCAAAAAAAGAACTATTGAAAGTGAGCGCCGTGTTTTTCAAGAAAAATGGGAAATCTATTTTTTCTGTTGTGAAATAGAAGGTAAAATTACATGTTTGATTTGTGGGCAAAATATAAGTGTTCAACTTTAGGTAATGATATTGAAATTATTCCTAAATAATAAATAGAATTACATTTCCTTGTATCAAAATCTAATGTATATTTCTATTTTGAAGTGCGGCCCTGCACTATTATTTATAGGGATGAGGTGGCCCTCTGTACAAGTTGAGTGTGACATGCCTGCTCTAAAGTATACCGCATCATGATAGAACACAGTGCTCACTAATTGTAACAGAACAAATGACTAATGGAGTTGATAACTGCCGCCTAATACTGACAAATCATAAACACATTCCCATGCATGAACTGCATTAATTGCCGTGAAATATAATGCCATGAAGCCATCCACAAAGTCAATAACTTCACTTAATTCCAAACATCGACCATCAGGCATGCTCATTTATTGGCAAAATTCATATTTGACTGACGGTTTGTTGGTGCCCTTGAATCGCAGCACTCTGAATCAGTCAATAACTGTAAGAACCTCCCTGTACAAATACAAAAAGATACATCTACTCAATGATAAACACAACGAAGACAATAAACATTATTCAATATGAGGTGGTATCAGATAGTTCCTGGACTGTTATTGTTGTAAGTGCTCAATGAAAGAACATGAGAGGGGAGGCCAAAGGTCACACTTCTGAAAGCCTAGTGCATCAGTCTGCCATGTGATGCCACACACTGATTATGCATTGTTTTTACTCTAGTCCTTTTTCGACTTGGTGTTTCATTTTGTCTGCAATAGATGGCAAAATTAAGCGATGTGTCTGTATCAAGTTTTGCTTTAAGTTTGGTAAATCCACTGCCAAAACCCGTGAAATGCTTCATGAGACTTTTGGAGATCATTCTTTAAGCCAGACAGAGGTTTCTGAATGGCATTCACATTTCAATGCTGGTCAAGTGTCAGTTGAAAATGACGAACTTTCAGGGTGGCCAAGCACCAGTAAAACGACAGAAAATGTTGAAAAATATGAGAACTCATCCACAAAGTCCATTGCCAAACAATCCATTAGCTCACAGACACCATTGGGATTAGTTATGAAGTTTGCCAGGAGACCTTAACAGAAAATATGAACATGCCCCTTATTGCTCCTTCATCATGACAATGCACCTGCTCACACGTCCCAGAAGACCACAGAGTTTGTGACTTTACAACATGGTTATCATTCCCCATCCACCCTACTCGCCGGACTTAGCCCCCTGTAATTTCACTGTTTCCCAAACTGAAAATGAAACTGAAGGGACAATGTTTTGAAACAGTATCTGACATCCAAAGGGAATTGCAAGTGTTACTAGACAGCATTGAGGAAAATGACTTCCACGGCTCTCATGAAGCATGGAAAAAATGATGGGAATGCTGTATATGTTCTCAAGGAGACTATTTTGAAAGAGATGACAGACAAATAAAGTTAAGCCAGTATTTCTCTTTTACCCTAGTCCAGGATCTTTCCAGTACATGAAGCTTCCATGGATTTTAGTCCGACCAATAACAGAAGTTCTGTTTGTTAACACACCAAGATAAGTGGAAGTGTGCCTTGTCACTCATGCCAATGACTGCATCATCTGCCACAGTTTTAAGTATGTTTTGTGCAAAAGAGACAGAATGCCCAATCATGTTGTTGCAACTCTTGCACAACAATCATCTTATATGGATAAAAATGCAGATCTAGCTGCAATAATCATCTCACACTCCGATCTGAAATGCCTAATGCAATGGCATGCTTCTTTGCAGAACTATGGGGATTAGTCACTACTGCCCGCCTAACAGTCTCAACATTCTCAGGTGTTCGGACAGTTTGTGCACCTCCAGGCAGTTTGTTCTTTAGTGCTGAGCCAGTTGATATGAAGCTTACAATCCACAAAAAGATCGTTGTCCTACTTGAAACTTTACCATGATGACCCACATTAAAGTGCACATGGAAATGTCTCTGAGTCAGGGTAACAGTGTCACCAGTTTTAAAAAAAAATGTCTCAACAACACAAGCACGATGTTCCATGGTCCACTGTTCCATGTCTACTGAAATGGTGTACTTTGAGCTGTTGAAAGTCAGTGAGCCCTCTCTTCCCACACCACCATTGCCCAGACTAGTGTCAGCTTAAAAATGTCAGGTTTCCCTCCCAGACCCTGTACAAAATTATGCATTCTTGGCAGTTATACATAAGCAAACAACTCGCTACACTCTCAACTACATAGGGTTTTAATTATTATTATTATTATTATTATTATTGTTGTTATTTCTCTTTTTGTCATTATTATTATTATTATTATTATTATTATTATTGTTATNTCTATACTTTGGATGGTAGTGACAGTTGCGAATTCAAGGTACTGATATAATAAATTTATATGTGTAAAATATTGTTGTATGTTGGATGTGTGTGACGCGACAAATAACTTCACACCATTCTTCGCTCTAGCCAATTTATTGCACTCACTCTTATTACTATGCAGTTCACAATTACTTCTCCTGGTGTAGTCACTTTGATTCCAGTTTCTGTTATAAACCCTCAGTTGGACAGCAGAAAATGCACCTCGCTTCATTGTTGCATAATCGCTGTGTTTGCAGAGGTGTTGCTGGGCAGTGCTGTATAGCAACCAGCGCACTTTGGCTTGGTTAGGCACAGCATGGAGAAACACCGCTTTCCTTTCTGTTGTGTAACTTGGCCGTTTATCAAGAGTCTGTCTTTCTGGTAACTTGTTCCACATCCCGTTGCCCAACAAAGGGTTGACATGTCACGCTGGTCGCTTCTTAAGGCTGTTCGTCCCGAATAGCCTAACAGTGCACCACCGGCCCTTTCCTTCCGAGGCTATACTTGCAACATTTTCTTTTTGTGTGGCTCGGTGTTTCTTTTCTTCCTGTTATCCGTTCTCCAACCTCTACATCCGCTCCCTCCTTAAGACTAGCTTGTCTCAAGCGGTTTCCTGGTAATGTGTCAGGAGATCCAGTTGTATCACAATCATCCCTCACTTTCTCTCTCTCTCATTCACTCTCTGGGGAGGCCAGTGCTACTATGTTGCCTGCTCCTCCTCTGTGCTAATGGTCCAACCTTTGTTTTTCATGTTTGTCGGGATGTCGTGCAGCATGTCTGCTGTCCGGCCTGTCAGGGCTATGATTAAGTGCGTATATTTATTCTGAGTACCAATGGTTGTGCTCCACTATGGTCTTGAGTTGGCACCGGGACACTCTCCAAGGTGTTCTTCCATTTGATGTTGGTGGCTGAACTGCACTTGCACAGATCACTGGTCTACTTCCCCACTCGACAGCAGTCTCTTTCTTTTTCTGGGATCGACGAAGTCCTTGGGTCAGTTTCTTTTTGTCGATGTCTCTCCTGCCTCATGCCACTGCTGCACAACGGGACACCTGTCTGTCGGTTTGCTTTTTCTGTGCCACTCTTGCATGGTGGCTGGTCTCTCTGCGGCCGACAGCCAGTCCTTTTTGGCACCCATCCTGATTCTGGGTCTGTTCCTTCATCTGGCGGGGGCCCTCCGTGCCCCGATTTCTGTCCATCTCTTGGCAGGCCGTTGCCTTTGTATCCATTCCGGGTTTGATTTCGGCCACCATCTCCTTGTGGCTGCTGTCCATCCCTTTTCTCATGGTGGCCATCTCTTCTCACCAGACTTTCTCATCGGCATTCATTTTTTCCTCAATTCTTGTCAGCATTTCGATTATTCGTTGCATATCTTGCTTCTCCATTTTCTATTTGCAGGATAATGCTCAATGCACTTGTAAATGCAATAATTAGTTCTGAACTTGTGGCGTGTTTAAGTTCATATCCTACTGTAACACCAGTTGTCGCGTGTTGGATTTGGGTGACACGACATAACTTCACACTGGCCTTGGATCTAGTAAATTTATTGCACACTCGCTCTTACTCTTATACAGTTCACAATTTCATTGTCCCAATTACATCTGCTGTAGTCACTTCCAGGCCTGATTCCAGTTTCTCTTATAAACCCTCAGTTGGCCAGCAGAAAATGCACCTCGCTTCATTGTTGCTTAATTGCTGTGTTTACAGAGGCGTTGCTGGGCAACACTGCATAGCAAGCAGCACACTTCAGCTTGGCTTGGCTAGGCACGGCACAGAGAAACACCCTTTCCTTACTGTTGTGTAACCTCATTTCCACTGTTGCAGAATGTGACAACCGACCATTTATCAAGGGTCTGTCTTCATGGTATCTTGTTCCACATCCTGTTGCCCAACAACAGTTTGACAAGTCACAGTATTGTTATTTTAATGCAGTATAATCATTAATTTGGAATGGATGCAGAAGTTGTTTTGTGGATTGTTGGATTGCGATTCCTTTTTTAAAATATATCATGGATAGCATGTTACCTTCTCAGTTTACAGACACGTGTGGTAACCTCTGCTGTAACAGTTCTTATTAACTCTTGTTTACATTATTTGTTGTGGATGGAAGTTCGCCCTTTAAGGGGAATTGCTCCATCAGGAAGCAGAAAATCATGTTAACACGCCTTCAAATGAGGCACAGTTGCCTGACACATATGTACCTATCTTAATAGTATGCATCCTGTTATGTGTTATAAACAAGGTACATAAAATGTGTTGTGCGAATATAAATATTGTCACGTGTTGGATGTTTCACGCGTGACAAATAACTCCACGCCATCTTGGATGTAGCAAATTTATTGCACACTTGCTCTTACACTTACACAATTTACAGTGTCCCAGTTGCTGCCATCTGCAGTATTACAATTACTTCCAGGGTTCCCCTGTCTTGGATCCATTCACTCAATACAACTTAACAACTCGTGGCTGCTGAACTTCCACTGCACTCGGTGACTGCTAGACTGCCACTGCACTCAGCATCTGCTTGACTTACACTCATCTCCTTAGGCATTCCAGTTTCTCTTATAAACCCTCAGCCAGACAGCGGAAAATGCACCTTGTATCCCTGTTGCATAATTGCCATTTTTACCAATTGCCTAGCAGTATTCATAGCACGGACTAGCCTGTTGCGTGACATCACAGCCTAGTGGGGAGGGGTGTTTACCGAGCATTGTGTAATGATGGAAGGAGTAGGGGTGTGTGATGTCACTCTCGGAAACAGAGTTCACGTGACCCCTACTTTCTCTTACGCCATCCACGTTACAATATAAATGCTATCACGACTAATAAACAATGTTCTAACTGCGCACAACACATTTTGGAAACCAGACATACATTTGACACAGTGGACCAGACCATAAAAATATTACATACAGAAAGGAAGGGACACAAACTCAACACATAAGAAAGATATTATATATGTGAGACGTAATGAAGACAGGTCGACAGATGAACGATACATTTACAGAAATACATAACCCCATATTTGACATTCTAGTAAAAAGACACACACCAAATAACCCCATGCCTTCCCTATCTCTTCAACCACTCACAGTAGGCTCCCCCCTTCCTCATACTACTTGACGTTCTACAAACATACCCACATATACAGATACCCACCAAACACGTAGTCTAGACCAAAATGCTACAACATAGTGACAACATCAACACAGGAAGCAGCCTGTACACATATCATTGTAAGAAAATCAAATATACATAAGTACATATACTTGTATGAAGGGTAGGCCTTCTTGGCCCTTGCCCCGCGACCTATGGTGGTCTGTTGTGTTTAATGACACTCACAAGCTTCTCCTAATAATAATTAAAAAACTTTTACAGATCACTCTGAATACACAACCTGTTGGGTGACATACAGAATAATGAGGATAAGCTCCACAAGACGATAGTAAGGGCAAGACTACACGACCTAACTCATGTGAGCATATTATACTTTAGCATCCTGTTGCATTGAGTCATTATCCTTATTATTAAAGCACCCGTCAATAATGCAACAATATTTTTTTTTAAATATTAAAGACATCTAGAATATGTTTATCACTAAAAGTGTAACTTTAATGATGTGATTAAAATCATAAAATATCTTTAGTTTGCCATATGTTTCGTCTCAGTTTACAACATGTTTTGGCTGCACGTGGGCCCATCATAAAGACATTTTTCTTTTGTTTTTTGGGGGGACCACTGCACTGTTCACTTGTCCATCGTGTTCCCATGCACGTCATTGTTTAGTTTTTATTTCATGACGAATGCTGTCATTGTATTCTTTTTCGGGTATCATACTGTAATGTATAATGTGTATTAGTATGATTAGTATAAATATTGTGATGTACCTTATGTCCATCACCGCAACAACCTCTACAATTGGAACGGACACTTCCACGACAACAGACGTGGAAATTGTGGAGTTCCTGCAGTGACAAATCGTAGCAACGAATTGTCGTTGAGTAACAACGGATGAGATGAAACACATTACCAGTGTATAAGGAGCATTCCCGAAGCAACGGATTGTCGAACACGTGAGATTGAACCTTTTTGAGGGGTGTCCTCTACTGAGTCCGCAAAACACCTACATAAGCCGAGAGCTATAGAAAGCAAGAATACAGTTGGAACCTAGTTGCCATATGATACAGACAGAAGACAGTTGAGATCCAGCCACGGCCAAGGATAGTTGAGACGTCGCATTGAAGTATTAGGCCAGAAGTCAAGTTACACTACAAGTGATAACAATTGTATGGTGTGTAAGAGTGAATGTTCAATAAAGATTCGCTAAATCCGAGACCCACTAAAGTTATTTGTCGCGTGACATACCCAACACGTGACCCCATCCTCATGATTTCTATCATGTTGTCTTCATATATCAAATGATGCAATTCTGTGTACTTATGTTTTTGTGTGTCATATTTCTCTTGTATATGTGTTATTAGTATGGTCTTCCTATATACTAAACATAGTGTAGGTAGCATGTCTAGTGCTGTCTATCATAAAGTTCATGCACTGTTTGAAATATTGCATTGTGTGTCTTGATGTGTATGCCATTCATATGTAAATTGTTCTTGTATACTTTGTAAATATGATACCTATCTAGTGTATTTAAATGTCTGCTTTTCCTTCCAATCCTTACATCAATAGTGTCTGCTGTTTTGCCATGTGAGTGTCCCATATTTAATATGTGGTTTGAATATCCAGATGTGCTACATACAACCATCCATAAAGTTTACCATGGAAAAAGAACAACATAAAAAAATCAATTACTTAGACATTACTATAGATCAGAAAGATAGGAAGTTGGAATTCTCAATATACAGAAAACCAACAAAACAGACATTATAGTACCTAAGAGTTCCTGTCATCAATATGAACATAAACTTTCGGGTATAAGGTAACTGCTCAAGTGACTACACACACATCCGATTACTAAAAAATCACTTGGGGATCATCAGTGTGATTTTCGATGTAACAGATCAACTACAGATCATATCTTTTGCATTTGTCAGATATTGGAGAAAAAATGGGAGTACGATGAGACAGTACATCAGCTATTCATAGACTTCAAGAAAGGCTATGATTCAGTTAGGAGGGAAGTATTGTACGTACAATATTCTGATAGAGATTGAGATACCCATGAAACTAGTTAGGTTGATTAAAATGTGTTTAAACAAAACATATAGTAAAATCCATGTAGGTGAATGTTTGTCTGATAAATTTCCTATCCAGAATGGTCTAAAACAAGGAGATGCTTTATTGCCACTCCTTTTTAACTTTGCTTTAGAATATGCCATTAGGAAGGTCCAGGGAAACCAGGTGGGACTGAAATTAAACGGGACACATGGGATGGTATGGATTGGATTGGATTGATCTGGCTCGGGATATGGACCAATGGATGGCTCTTGTGAACACAGTAATGAACTTTTGGGTTCCATAAAATGCTGGGAAATTCTTGAGTAGCTGCAGAATTGGTGGCTCCTCCAGAAGGGCTCAGCTCCATGAGTAAGTAAGTAAGAGAATCAAAACAAACAGAAGAAAACACGATAAAAAACATCCAACAAAAAATGGATACAGCACAAATGTAATTAGGAAACCAATACCACATAAAGAAAATATACAGGTAAATCCATACCATCAAAAAACAATGTGAGATGCAGGCATCCCACAATAGAGTCACTTCTGTTACCAGAAAATCATGTCAACATGTAGCGGTCACAAAGTTTTAAAGAGATTTATCACAAAATATTTCATTTCCATTGTAGTACAATTTTAATTTTTATGTTTTAATCTTTAGTATCTAATTTTAAAATTTTATTATCTGAGTATTTTAAAATTTTAACCGAAAAGCTCAATTTAAACATTTAAAAACACTCGACTGCACAGTAAGGATTCTTATTGACAAATTAGATGCAAATTGGTAATTACAGTTCAGCAACTGAGTCTGGTATCATTGAACACCCAATGATGACCCAAAACATGTAGTGTCAATACAAACAAATGTTGATATGATAGTGTCTACTTTGTTTTAAATATTGAATATTGTTGTGCAGACTGCATACACTTGTATACATTTTATATACATATGTAGTTGTTGCAAGGCATTTGCACACTTCTACTCAGTTTTGTGTACCCAATACCATTTCACACATCCAGAAATAGTGGCCATTTTCTGGCAAAAGCCAAGCATTTATATTTTGAACAAATCTTGTGTGGCATCCTAGGAGATGACTCATATGGATTTCTTCGTGGTATCAGGGTGGACATGTCTGTTGAAGTAACACTATACTATTCTTCTTTTAGAGGCCTTATATGTGTGTGTGTGTGTGTGTGTGTATAGTCACGTGACAAATAACTTCACGCCGTATTGGATATAGCGAATTTATTGAACAGTCATTCTCACAATTACACAATTTAATAATTTCACAACTACTGTCATCGGCAGTATCACAGATACTTCTCCTGTACTGCCATGAACTCGATACAACCCGACTTGGTGACTGATAGACTGCAACTGCACTCAGCGACTTCACGATCCGCACTGTGTCGCTCCTAATCACACACTCTTGTCACATACTGCTCAGCCGGCTTTTTATACCATTCCCTGTTGCATGTGTCAACAGCGGTGTCCCGTGTTACGTCACCCTGGAAAGTGCTATTACGTCACCATGGGAAGGGGCGTAGTGTTGACTGGCCTGTTACTGTAGCAGTGGCAGCGCTCCAAAGCTGTACGTCACCGCTGGCGGGGGAGGGGCTGTTCTGCATAGCGCAAATATGTCACAATATATAGTATACTGTTACGCTGTTCGGGACAAATGACCTTTAGGGGGGAGCAATGTGATGTACTGCTAGAGAGCCAGAATGATTGAGGAGATCAGGGTTCATTTCCTAGGCAACGTGCAATGTTCCCACTACAATGGCTAGGAATCAGAACGCATCCATTGATATACAGCAGCTAGCATCCAAGCAAGAATTGTTTGTCGTGTAACAGTGGGCGGCATAACCCTTCAACATTGTATTCCCTGTTCAGTCTAAGGGTAAGTTACAACAGTGCAACGTCGGCCAGAGACCAGCAGAGAGTGTATTTGACGTTAGCAGGAAAGAGTTCTTATCTGACTGGAACAGAAGGGTTGTAATATTGGAGAATTAACGTCTTAAGGACGTTATAAGTGGTGAATAATTTTAAGTGTGAGTGTAAAATTGACTGTCCAATTAATATTCGTTCCAATCCGAGAACACACAGTTTCTTGTTGTGTTGCTTACCAAACATGAGACAGTATATTGTTTCAGGGATTTTCCTGGGTCATATGCATCCTTTCTTGGTATCATTTTTTAGCTTAGCCTTTATTGTTATTTCATTCTAGGAGCCTATCAACTATTAATTAGACATCTGTCTAGCTTTACAAATGCATAATTTTATTTAATTTTGCAATTTGTTAAACAGTGGTAGTGCAGCTTAACTTCTGTTGACTCAGAAACCTCCATACATGCCGATGGGGATGGGCACACACCATACGAGGGGGTGTGTTCTCTCTGTCCCCACTTTCATGCCTGCCAATTTAACATCTCACTGTACTGGGGTTTCAAACTCATTTATCTTCCTATTTGGATTTTTCATGTTATTTACTCTCATTTTCCAGGATAATTTGAATGAACTACAACTTGTACATGGTGAGGAGCGACAATATTCCAGTGATGAGAGTGATAATTCATTCAATCAAGAGCAAATTCTGATACCACATCGACGCATACATAGAGGGGAGCAGCCGTTTATATGTGACGTATGTAATAAGTCGTCCATTTCAAAGAATGATCTGAAGAAACATATGTACATACATACTGGGGAGTGGCCATTTCACTGTGCTGTATGTAATAAGTCGTTCATTCATCAGAGTCATCTGAAGACACATCAGCGCATACATAGTGGGGAGAAGCCATTTTGCTGTGACGTATGTAATAAGTCATTCAATCAGCAGAGTCATCTGAAGATACATCAGCGCAAACATAGTGGGGAGAAGCCATTTTGCTGTGACGTATGTAATAAGTCATTCAATCAGCAGAGTCATCTGAAGATACATCAGCGCATACATAGAGGGGAGCAGCCATTTTGCTGTGACGTATGTAATAAGTCATTCAATCAGCAGAGTCATCTGAAGACACATCAGCGCAAACATAGTGGGGAGCGGCCATTTTGTTGTGACGTATGTAATAAGTCATTTATTCATCAGAGTCATCTGAAGACACATCAGCGCATACATAGTGGGGAGAAGCCATTTTGCTGTGACGTATGTAATAAGTCATTCATTCAGCAGAGTCATCTGAAGACACATCAGCGCAAACATAGTGGGGAGCAACCATTTTGTTGTGACAAGTGTAATAAGTCATTCAGTCATCAGACTCATCTGAAGACACATCAGCGCATACATAGTGGGGAGAAGCCTTTTTGCTGTAATGTATGCAATAAGTCATTCCGTCAGCAGAGTACACTTAAGATACATCAGCGCATACATAGTGGTGAGCAGCCATTTTGTTGTGATGAGTGTAATAAGTCATTCAGTCAGCATGGTGATCTGAAGAGGCATCAGCGCATACACAGTGGGGAGCAACCATTTTGTTGTGACAAGTGTAATAAGTCATTCAGCCAACAGAGTAGTCTGAAGACACATCAGCGTATACATAGTGGGGAGAAGCCATTTTTCTGTGATGTGTGTAGTAAGTCATTCAATGTTAAGAGTAATCTCAAGACACATCAGCTCATACATATTGGGAAGCCGTCATATTTCTGTGATGTATGTAGTAAGGCATTCAATGAACAGAGTACACTGAAAACACATCAGTGCATATATACTGCTGAGCTGTCATTTTCCTGTGACATGTGTAGTAAGTCGTTCAGTCAGCTGAGGAGTCTGAAGAAACATCACCGCATACATAGTGGGGAGCGGCCATTTATATGTGACGTATGTAATAAGTCATTCATTTCGAAGAGTGATCTGAAGAAACATATGCACATACATACTGGGGAGCGGCCATTTTACTGTGATGTATGTAATAAGTCGTTCATTCATCAGAGTCATCTGAAGACACATCAGCGCATACATAGTGGGGAGAAGCCTTTTTGCTGTAATGTATGTAATAAGTCATTCCGTCAGCAGAGTACACTTAAGATTCATCAACGCATACATAGTGGTGAGCAACCGTTTTGTTGTGGTGAGTGTAATAAGTCATTTAGACAGCAGAGTAGTCTGAAGTCACATCAGCGCATACATAGTGGGGAGAAGCCTTTTTGCTGTAATGTATGTAATAAGTCATTCCGTCAGCAGAGTACACTTAAGATTCATCAACGCATACATAGTGGTGAGCAACCGTTTTGTTGTGGTGAGTGTAATAAGTCATTTAGACAGCAGAGTAGTCTGAAGTCACATCAGCGCATACATAGTGGGGAGAAGCCATTTTTCTGTGATGTATGTAATAAGTCATTCGGTCTGCAGAGTAGTCTGAAGAGACATCAGAGCATACATAGTGGGGAGCGGCCATTTTGCTGTGATGTATGTAATAAGTCATTCGGTCTGCAGAGTACTCTGAAGAGACATCAGCGCATTCATAGTGGGTAGTGGCTATTTAGGTGTGACGTGTGTCATTCAGTCTGCAAAATAGTCTGAAGACACATCAGCGCATACATGTTGAAGTGTGTAGTAAATCATAGAGCAGTAGAGATGGGTTTAGAGTAAAGGAATAGTATGTGACTTGTAGCATGCCACAGTATTTCATCTTGTAAGTAAGGCAGTTTTGTTGTGTGTGGCACGCTGCATTTTTATAGAATTATACAAGATATTGGAGTTGATTGCTTTTGCTAACCTTTCAAACTGACAGGAAATGAACTGAGTCCAGTGGTACAAACATCTGTGCAAGTGAGTTCCATTTGATTCTGATTGCTGAATGTGCACAATACCCTGCCTTGTTGAGTGGAAACAGACATGACATGACATTCTTCTACGGTTATGATGTTAATTCAGCAGTGGAAACTAATGATTAGTACAGTGTAGTCACTGAAATTGATCGACAACTTATAATTCAGCAGCATCGTATGTTTTTTGCTGTATGTTAACTATGCTCTTATGCCATTACATGTGAGTAAATATCATTTGGATGGAGTATATTGAGATAACTGTTATGGATTTGTCAGACGAGTATTATTGATTATAAAAAGAAAGTTAAGTAAAGATGTGTTTATTCTGCTTGTTGATAAATAAAGTAGCACAGATAATTTAATTCGAAGAATCATGAAAGACTTCCTTACATATTTTTATTGTGAATATCATCAGAGAAACAGAGCTGTCTGTCATGAGATCGAAAAAGAAAGTGGTTTGGTGCTGAGGCACTCCTTTTGCCTTAGAGGGGAAGAGTGAACTGAAAATTGTGAAGTTAGTTTAAGTGTAATTATTAGGGCCTGGATCTTTATGCACTAAAAAGCGGGAAAATATGCACCAAAAATAAAACAATATGCACTTAAGAAATAGGTCACTTTATTCAGACTCGCCTTTTTACATGTATCATTCACTGCAGAAAGTAGCATCACAATAGGCTACTAGAAGTCTTTCAATGTTATATGGAGACAAGCTACGTCTATTGTCCGTGAAAATGAGTTTATAGGCCGAGAATGATCTTTCTACATCAACTGACGTGATTGGACAGTATTTAGACACTGTTGCCAAAGGTTCGGAACATTCATCTGGCAAAGATACCCTAATTCCACTCAAGTACTGACTAACTGACTGATTCTTTTTTAGTCCTGGGTTCAAATTCAACACCATTTCTAACTTGCATTTAATCTTGTCTACAATTTCGCCTAGTGCAAAATTCAGTGAACAAGTTGCTTTCTGAACGAGTTGAAGTGAGTCATGAAGGAGTGCACCACAAGATTCTAAGCTCTCAATGGCTTTTGAAACTAGAAAAATGTGCAGGGATAAAATTCATGTCTTGATAAACGGTATCACATCCAAACACCACTTTTGCTTCACGGACACATGCATACTCATCTTCAAGTTTTGTAACCACTTCTTTTACCTGATTGAAATTCTCCTGATAAAATGAAACTGTGGATATCCATGTCCCCCACCTAGTTAGGACAGGTTCAGGTGGCAGAGGAACCTGAGGTAGGCAATCTTTGTAGAACTGGACACGAGCTGGTGCTTTCAGAAACATTTTTTTTCCACTTGCAATTAAATCGTTAACAGGTGGAAACTGTGCGCGTACTTTTTCTGCAGTATGGTGTAATCCGTGAGCTAAACAGGTTACGCGTATAAGATTTGGATAAAATAGTTGTAAGGCCTATGCTGCTTTCAAAATATAGAAAGCACCTTACAACAATTATTCTCAATTTCAGATGGCCATAGTAGTCACAGAGAATCATTTACAAATCCAGCTATTGTGCTATGGTTGGTTTTCTATAGTACTTTGCAAGCAAGAAGATGAGGTTTGCCGGGTTCATCTGGATGTAGCTTAACAACTATGAAATTTGCTATTCATCGGCCACATAAATCAGTTGTCTCATCCTTAATTTCAAACATATATGCAGAAATATGCTCTTACGTTTAGAATATGCTATAACGACCAAAAACCCTCAAAATATGCATTTGCATATGCACATATGCATTTTCAAAAAATCCGGGCCCTAGTAATTATATATATATATATATATATACTAGCTGTACCTGGCCACACGTTGCTGTGGCTCAGTCTGCCCATTCTTCTCCAGTTTGATTTGCAGTTACTCATCGCACTGCTTCCGCTCCGCAAGTATGATGACCTAAGTTTGATCTTCTGCGAGGCATTATTTGGATGAACTAAAGCAGATCGATTGCACTGCAGAAGAAGAAAAAGGTTATAACAAAAACATATAAAATTGCAAAACATTAAAAAAGGAAAGAGCACGACCTGGAAAACAAAGAAGAAACAAAAAAAAAATACTAAAAAAATATTTCAATTCAAACACAGATCAATCGACACAGCTCAATTCCACCGCCAATTGCACTGAAAAATAAGGAAAACAGTTAAGAAAACGAAATGAAAAACAATGAAAGAAGAAAAAAATAAACTATACTCACGAAATGGTAAACGACACATCTCAATTCCAATGTGGATGTGACGTGTTGCACGCGTCAGTAATGCACGTAGCGTGTTTGGGTATGTCATGCTACAAATAACTACGCCATATTAATTATAGCGAATCTTTATTATAATTCACTTGCACACTTTACAATTATCGCCACTTGCAGTATTAGAGTTACTGGTTACACAATCTCTCAGCCAATACTTCTGTATCTCTTGGTGTCTAGGTTCCAACCTTCTTCAGCGGCAGCTATTCCAAGACTGACTGGGCGAATGAATTCAACCCCCTTTAATATCCTCGGCCGCTGCTATGCAAATGAGCCCTTGTT